ACAACATGTGTCTGCCATCAGGATGTTTGACAAAGACGGGAGTTCATCAGCTGCAGATTGTGAGACACTGAAGCTTTATCCGTGACTTTAGAGATCTTAGAGCTCTTAGAGAGCATATGAGGAGATTTCCTTCTTTTTTTTGAGGCAGGAATGGTAGAAAAAAGGGACCAGAGGCCTGAGAGCTGATGTTGAGTTGTTTACAGCGAGACTGCATCATCCATCAGCAAAACAGGTCTCGGCTCGGCACGAGGTTCCCAGAGTGCACAGATGTTTAATGGGGTGACAGGTTGTGTCCGGCGCTCTCGGGTCCCCGACCGAAACGCCGCTGGCTGCTGGACGGAGACAGCAGACCAGCCTCGGCGCACCCGGCGGACTCGCCATCTGAGGCTGCAGAGGTGTGAAGAGCCAAACGACACCGCGGGGCCCCGGGGCCTCGAGAATGACTACACGAGCCGGAGACAGGACGGTTAACGTCACGGATGAGGGGAACACAGGAAGCTTCATTTCACACATGATTTACATTTTGTTTTCATGTGACGGCGTCAAATGACTCTGCAGCATGAGTGTGTTTGGGTTGGAAGAAGATCACTGGATGCTCTTCAGGTTTTATGTTATGCTGAGATTGTGGTGGGTTTAGTCTACTTTATTGTGTTGTGTGTTTCTTGTTGTGACTAAGGCTGTAAGAACATATCGATACACCTGAGTTTTACAAAATGATGTTTTGTGATACTATATTGAATATAGTGCTATATTTTGAATAGTTTACAGGCAAGGATTGGTGGCAGACAGAGGCTCAGGTTGCACAGCAGGCCGTGCTATGATGTTGGATGTTACAGGGACTCTGATAAATGCAAAAGTAGATCCCACTGCTCTGATTGCATAAACATTGTTTACACAATTAAAAGTAATAAAAGTAATAAAAAAAAAAAGCTGCACAGCAATGAAATGTTGATTTAGAATTTGAATGTTTGTGTTACGAATTAAGCGTCAAAGCGTTGAACTATTCAGTAGAGCCACTGTGCTTTTAAAGAGATCAATACTTAATTAATAGCTGCTATTATTAAACAGCGCTGCCTCAGACTGTAGGCCAAGCCAGGATTGTTCTTTCATGCTTGACATTTAGCATTGGTTTGGTAGGATTTATACTGTGATGTCAGAACCAGCAGCATTGGAATGAAAGAGACAGCAAGCTCTGAGAGAGAGGAACAGGTTTCTGGGTGTAAACGGAGATGCCGCTGGTCAATACTTGGAGACGACGGGGATACATTTGGCCTGTCTCTTGGGATTTACAACAGCCAAGTTTGGCTTTTTACTTCTCTGTTTGTACCCCCGCCTTAGTCACAAGAACCCTTCTGAAAATAGCTCTGAGCAACATAAAAAAGGGACCATGTGTTTGTAAATGTCAGACGTTTGAGCCACGGCGACGGCTGAGGTGGCGCTTGGTTTTGCCGTCTGCGAGGGCGTTATTCTGGGTCAGATGTGCGTATCTCTGCCATAATGTCCGTTGAAGCGGGAAGGCCAGGCCACAAATAGAGAGCATATGCCGGCCTTTTCCTCCGACATGTGCTACTTCCTCCTCGCTCAGCCCACCTGCTTGGTCAAGCCTCGTAGTTTACTATGAATGCCAGCCTGCAGCAACAGCATGCACGATGTGTCAGTCTGCAGAGACGAGTCTCTTCCAGGCTCAGAGGAACTTTTGTTCAGACGCTGGCCGTACTTCATATCCTGATACACGGTGCTGCATCCACCGTTCATGATGTGCAAACTGCCACTTGCAGATGCCTATAGAAGCTTTCATTTCTGAAAGATTTGAACCACACAGGATATGTGCCGTAGCCATCATGTGAATGCAAACGCAACTATATAAAAACACTTAATGGGGTAAAATAACAGAATTTGATCCATAAAGCAGGTCTATTTAATTTTTTGCTAAACAGCTACAAGTTAAATATTATTGCTCTAACAGACTAAAGTAAAGCTTATGCACCTCATTCTGCTCTTACGTTAATAATTAAGAGATTCATAATGAGATACATTTAAAGCTACGATGTGTAAAACTTACATGTTTTCTACTTTAGCGCCCTCCAGTGGCAGTGTCATGAAAACACAGATCGGACCGTTTTCTGCAAACAAAAACTACGATCGCATAAAAACTCTGCACAGTGTGGCTTCATACTGTGGATCTCAGAACATTTGAATATATATTAAGGGGTCTGCTTGTAATCGCCGGGTTGATCAAAGGTATGCAATTATGTAAAATATATATATTTTTATACTCAAAAGTCATTTTCACAAGCCTTAAATATCTTTTAAAAAGGTTTGAATCCAAACAGGTTCCATGAATGAGTGACTGAGTCTTTCATGAACTAAAAAGGAAAAGGAAGGACGGGTGTGTGGCAGCATTAACCCTCGGTTTCAGTACATGTGTCTGTCTTTGGGCACCAGGCGGTGCTGCAGGTAGAAGCTGTTTCCACCACTTTCTACAACAAGCCCCAAACCTGAAAACCCACCCAACACCAGCCAACATGTCATTATCTCCTGCTTTACAGTCCCATCTGTTTGCCTTAGTGATCACCTATCGATCGAGGATAGCCAACTCTATAAGCTGTTAATCACAAGCACGGGCTGGACATTTATTACGGCGCAGCCATCGATTGGGGTCACGCTGTCCAGCCTCCAACATCGGCCGCAGAGAAACAAATATGGCCTCGCAGACACATCTCTCAGTGCACCCCCGACAGCCTCATGAAGCCCCAGTGATGTCCTCCTAGTGAGGAGGAAGGATCCGTCTCTTGAGGGATTCATCCAGAGGGCAAAACAATTAAGATTAATAGCTTTTTATGCTCTGCTACAGTTTGCAATTGTCTTAGCAAGGGAGATTGTTTGCAGCTTGGCATTGTAAAATATGCAAATGTGACCTGGAAGTGCATCAATGGGTGATCAGAAAATGATTTTGTGCTCCTTGGTGTTAAAGTACAGACTGAGACACTAAAATGTTGATGGCAAAGTGCAGATGAGGGCGTTCATGAACAATAATTCCTCGTGAAAAGCAGCAGGTGCTGCATTACTCTTCCCTGAACTCTGGGGGGGCTCATGCCCTGACCCTAAAGCGGAGCTCAAACAGCTTCAGGCAGCGTGTTAGTGGTGAGTTTGAGAGAAGGACGGATATGAGTCACCTGCAGACAGTGAAAGTCAAGTCTTACTGCTGTTTCATGTCCTGAAAAGCAGCGTGACCTTTCAAAAAATGTAAACCGCAATCCTGCAGACTGAAGATGACAACACAGAGGCAGGCGGTTTAAACAAGCAAGTGAACACCTGGGAACATCTGCTGGATGATGACCACGGTCAGAGCTGAGGTTGTGCTTTAGCACCGGAACCTCTCCATTGATCACTGCACCTCTCTCAGCAGGTTAGTAATAATATCAAACTGAAGGTTGATGGGATGCAGGACACGCTTCACCTCCTTTTTGCATCCATAAAATATATATTTCATGTAAAAACCTCCCCTCTTTAAAAACTGAACATCCAGGTCAGCGATGCATCAAGTTCCAAAGAAACAGCAACATGTAATTCATTTGAACTACAGCCTCATTCTAAACTCTCTCTCTCTCTCTCTGTTAGGGACTTTAGATCTGAAGTCAGCAAAGCATTTACATGTTTCCACAATATTCTAATAAAATAAAATCCAAACATTAAGCTTCAAGCTTCAAGCTACAGACGCGTAGCGATAGTTCAAGTTGTGAATAAAACCAGGTCCAGGTCAAATGTTTTTCCCAATAACTTTGTTCTCAATATTGTGTTGCTACAGGGGAAGTTCTTTATACACAAATGCTGATACTTTAAGACTAAATCCAGTTTGATCCATTGGAAGAATGAGTTCAAACTCTTAAGTCACTGAAACTTGATAAAACTCTAGTTTGCGATAACCCCGCTGCTGTAGTTGTATTTCATTTCTTTATTTGTTTTTTCTTTGTATTCCTCATCTCTGTATTTGATCTGATCATTATGTGAAGAGGCCTTGATTGTTTGTACTTATTTCTTCAATAACAAAAAAGAAAAAATAGGAAATAAATGTTCCCAGTTTAGTGTGAAAGATCTCGACTGGTCTGCAGAGTCCAGACCTCAACATAATCCAACACCTTTGAGATGAACTGGAATGCGCAGACCTCATCACCCAACATCAGATTCCACCACTAATGCTCTTGTAGCTGAATGGGATCAGATGATTTCAACAATGGTTCCAAAATCCAGCGGAAAAACATGAACCCAGAAGATTTAAGACAGATTAATGTTAATGGTTTTGCCCTGTATGGTGTCCATATACTTTAGGCCATGTATGTAGTCTATGCTCTAAGTGGGACCATAGACTGTATACAAGAAGTGAGGTGGACTGGTTTGTGGACTCGAGTTTGGCGATATTGCCGTCGCCATCTTGGATTACCGTTGTCGCCATTTCGTTGTTTTACGCAACCAATGAACGGCTGGTAGAGACCAGTCAATCACCGTGTAGCCCCGCCCTAAAGCATCCCCTGCTTTATGGTCTGTTTGACTCTAAATGGACCATAATGTACTAAATGAACATCATGCTGTATTGAAGAAGACTTGAAACTAGAGATTGAGACCATAAACTCATGTTTACAATGTTTATTGAGGTAATAAATCAAGAGAGAAGTAGAGTCATTTTCTCATAGACTTCTATACAACCAGAGGAGTCGCCCCCTGGTGGACACTAGAGAGAATGCAGCCTTTAAGCAGAACCGGAGGTTGCCTCCTGAGAGGGACAAACTGTGGTGTATAAAACTACGTTATGGAAACACTGTTTTCTAAACAATGTCAAACAAATCTTTGACATTTCTGTACTAAAATCTCAGACAACGAGGCTCTAATGTATGCTTGCATATGTTAATATACATAAATACTGTCCATGCTTACACACACATGAAGCTCACACTACAAGAGATAAAGCACAGAGATAGGAAATGAGAACAAGGGAGCATGGACTCTGTTTGTCCCTGAGAACGTTTCAAGGACAAACCTGTTGATGTGAGCAGCGAGACGGACGAGACACCGAGCGGAACGGGAGACGAGGATAGAAGAAAAAGGGAAGAAGTTGACAAATGAATGCGTCCCGGGGAAGAAAAAGAGTGAGCAGAGACGATGCAGTCTAGCGTGAGGTGTTGAGAAAGAGGCTGTAGTATGTTCCAGAGTTGTAAGGCGGCAGGGAGGGAAATAAACGGGAGGGGGAGGAGGGAGGGAGGGAAACGGAGAAGGAGGGAGGGAGGGGAGAGAACGAGAGGATAAATCCTTACTACATAATGATTAGAGCTCACAAGCCCTTCCTGTGACACAGAGTGTAGGAGTCGGGATTACAGCCGGCCAGTGAAGCCAGAGTGACAGCTCTGCTGATGGAGGAAGGAGGAGCTCAGGTAAGACGAGACGATCGGGACAACAAGTGACTAACAAAGGTGTGTTTCCAGGGAGAGGGATCCAGGAACATTTTCTAAGAAGATATTTCCAAAACTCCCCGGCGGCTGGTTCACATCTGTCCCCCTGCCCCCGGCCATCTGTCGCCGGCCACGTTTCCCAGGCTGCTGGATCATCTCTTCCAGAGTCCTTGGTGTTTTTTTTGTTTTTGATGGAGCGGCCGCAAGGGCGCCGCTCGCACCAGAGGAGGGCGAAGAAGAAGGGAGATGGGGAAATTAAGACGAGGGTCACCCCTGCACAAGCTGTGATGGATGGGACCCGCAGTGTGGACAGGTGTCTCAGCCAATTATGGAGTACATCTGTGTCTGTGTGAACCGGGCAACGACAACACAAGGAGGACGAGACTGACGGGGGGGTTTGAACGCTGAGGATTTAGTTTTTTTGCTCTGATTTATAACACGGTGTAAGTTTCTGGCAGCTTCCGGAGCTGTTTTCTGAGGAGTTATCTCCCCCCTGCTTTACTGTACACATAAATATGCACGCTGACGGGTTCCTCCTCAAAGCATTCTGGGACGTTTCACTTGAAATGCTGCTTCTGAGGTAACTTTTAATTCTAAGCTGGAACATTTAGCCAAGAGCTCAACTGTGGACAGCCACGATTTGTTCATCTGCCTCCTCCGGCACCTGCTCACTTCGATTCCCCTAAATCACTCCGTCCATCCTCCTCCTGCTCCTCCTCCTCCTCTTCTTCTTCTTCTTCTTCTCCCCCCCCCCCCCCCCCCCTTTTCCACCAGCGAGTGATAATGTGACCTTCTGCCAAAAGTGCTGGAAACCATGCCACCGTCGCAGCGGGCTCCTCTGTTGCTGCCACTGAAATAGACTCAAACAAGTGCAGGGAGAGGAAGGGAGGAAGGGGAAGAGGACCAAAAGGAGGGGAAGAGGAAGAGGAGAAGAGGGCCAAAAAAAAAGAAAGGGGGAGAGAAACAGGAAAAAAGAAGACAGGACAGCTGAAGCCGCAGACACGGGATGAGTGGTGACGAGCCGGGGCTGGATGAGGATTGCCAACACAGGTAACGGATCACCTTCATCTCACGCTTAGTGCTCTGAGATCACAACATGTATCTGCCTGCTTTCTGCTTAACGGTGGAGGAAATGTTTCACTTTACAAACCGAGTGTGGCCAGGTGCTCTCTGCTTCTTTTTCTTGTGTTTGGAGGTGTGTTTTCAAGTAGCATCCCCCTTCCTCCTCCTCCTCCTCTCTTCTTACTGTCAATAGAGGAATTGTCAGAGTGCAGAGGATCAGATCAAAAGCAGGACTCGACAGGATTGTTGTCGGGGGGGATCAGACGGCACGCTGTGTTTGGCTTTTGTGCCTGCTGTAGGTGTGTGTGCGTGTGTGTGTGTGTGTGTGGTGGCTGTAACTGTTGCTTTAACTCAGTGAGCTGCCAGGGGGGATTAAGCAGAGCGGATCGATGCGTCATTGTAAACAGTTAGAGCAGCTGAGAGGGGCTTTGATACCTGCCCGCCGGACCAGGGATGCTGCTGCTTCTGCTGCTGCTGCTGCTGATGCTGATGCTGATGCTGATGATGCTGATGATGCTGATGCTGATGCTGATGCTGATGATGCTGCATGGGGAAGTTGAACTGCCGCTGAAGAATGACTTTCCAGGATGCCAGAGAATGAGAGATTCCTGTAATTATTGAAGGAATCCATTCTGTTACTTTGGTTCCATGAATACGGAACAGGTCCTCTTCTTTTAGAGACAGCTCAGCTCTGTTATACACCGGTTACAGGAATGCAAACTGACATGCAGAGCAGATAAACTATAAGAGAAAAGTTTAAACTAAAGGCTCCGCAAAGGTGTAAGACCTGCTGAGTTAACGCGGGGGAAACGATCAAATCAGGGCTATAAATGAAAAGACAACGAGAGCAGCAGAGCAGAACAAGGACAAAACCGTATTTCACTTAAACGCTTAAACGCCACGAGACCGAAGCTAAATCATCAGCTCCAAAGAGCAATGACCTGTAGAAGCAGCTGTGCGTCCTCATTACAAAAGAGTCACGGTGCCGTCTGCACCGGGAGCTAAACTCAGGTGGGAGGAAATTCATCCATAATTGATCCGACTGTCCGGTAACTGTCCCTTTATCAGCCGTCATGGACCGCACAAAAAGCCTGTTCAACCCAAAGTTAAGAGACACGAGTGTGAAGGTCAGAGGTCAGAGGGAGGTTTGTATTTGATCATTTGTCTGGTTCAAGATGCAGAGAAAAGACAAGGAATCCACTGGGACGTCCCGTAGACTCTTACGCACCTCTTTGGCCCATTATCCGAATATTGAACTTGAAGGCTCAGCTTAATTAAAGATGAACATTTATTCTCACGTATTCTCTCTGTGGTTGGTTATAGTCGTGCAGCCAGTGCAGGAAAAGCACATTTCATCTGTGCAGCAATAAAACTGTGGGACGGATGTAAAAATGATCCTCAATAAGAGACATCTAACGACTCTGACTGCTGGTGGTTAGATGTTCATTCAATCATTGTAAAGGCTTAATTCACCCACATTATTAAAAAGACTTATTCCACTAGCCTTTAGAAGAGCCTCTTTTTTATTTTTATCTCTTCTGGAGTCTAAAAACTATTCAAATGAAACAATCTGAGAGGACAGAATCTACTCAAAGCTGATGCAATCTGTAACAAACATCTGGCGCATACAGAGGAGAACAAGTCTACTCGCTGGTCCCGTTTACTTTTCAGATGGATTCAATTATTATTTCATAACTTTTAAAGGTCTGACTCGGTAAAACTGTGATAAAACCATTTTATCACTCCTAAAGTTGTATGTTAGAGTATTTTATTCTTCCTGTTTCCTGTGAATCATTTCACAGATATTTATTTCAGTGGTCTGGTTGAAAGTTAGTTTGTCATTGAATATCACTTATCGGGTAGAATATGTCTATGTGAGGGCAACAAGTGTGTGTGTGTGTGTGTGTGTGTGTGTGTGTGACAAGGCAACATGTGACTGGAGGAACCAATGCAAGGGTTCTCAGCCTATCACGCAACATGATGCAGTGACACACACACACACACACACACCGTGAGGGAGGAGTCTGCGGGCTGATCAATAACACAGCTGATACGTTCAGTGATTAAGCAGATTTATTTTGCTTTAGACGGATGCTCTGCTAATCTCACAGCCATCCTGTCTCACTAACACCTTTGAGGACAAAATGTCCTCACATAAAAAAAAAGGTGTCCTCTGTACTGAACACCTCAGGAGACGTTCAAGGGCACAAACGTTTTCTGATAAAACTGTTGAGCAGCGACTACATCTGACTCGTTTAACACTTGTATCAGTTATAGTTTGTCACGTAAGAATAATAGTTCACTTTGCAAACAGCTGTGATTCAATACATTCAAGAGGCCTTCAAAGTCATTCATTACATGCACACACACACACACACACACACACACACACACACACACACACACAGACATTAACAGAGGAGCAACCGTGTGAAGCACAGTTTGCGCTCACTTAGCTCTGCCTTTAGTCGTGTAGTTAGAGGTCAGTGTGTGACTTCGTCGTCTCTTTCTCTATGCTGTTGTGTAATGACTTTATTAATCTGATGTTATTGTTCTGTAATACTTTCTTAAAGGAACAGTTCACATATTTTTCCTCTTATATCTTCTGAGCTATTTATCAATCCAGATAGTTTTGGTGTGAGTTGCCTAGCTTTGGAGATATCCGCCGTAGAGATGCCTGCCTCTCGTCAATATAATGGAAGTCAATGGCACGGAGCTTGTGGTCGTCAAAGCGCCAAAAGAAATAAATACATTTGAAAACTCAACAGCGACAACCGAACGGAAGGAAGCGTGCATCTAAACGAGAGGCTCCTAGCTAACCGATACTGCTAGCTCACCTAGCATCACTGAGACGAGGAAGACGTCAATGTTTACATCTCTAGATGAACGCTTCCTTCTGCGCGGTGATACGTTTGGCAGCTGCGTAGAAATGAAACAGTTCCTACATGAAACTGCTCACAGGGTCATCATTTCTGGAAAGAAACATTGAGGTTGAGTTATTATTTCAAATGTATTTCTTTTGGCACTTTGAGCACCACAAGCCAAGTGCCATTGACTTCCATTGTGTTGGAAAGAAAGAAAGGTAGACATCTCTACACTCAGCAACTCCCACCAAAGCAATCTAGATTGATGAACAGCACCACAGGTAAGAAGAAAAGTACGTATAACTTAATGTTCATCTGTGACGTTTACATATTTACTTGATTTCAACAACTACACCTCTGAAGAAATCCTGTAAATCTGACATTTTATAAACTAAATTAGTCCAGAAAAAAGAAATTGAGTAATGGGTAACAGAAGCAATCATTGTTGTTAGCATGAGCAGCGATAGTCAACAAGAAAGGAACAACAAGTTGAAAACACGTCCACTCATGTGTTAAGTTCCTGAAGCAGCATCCTGGTAAAATAATCATATTTTGGAGGACTTGCATGTGAGGCTGCAGCAGGTCTGAAACGACCTCTGGGTTTGTACCTCAGGGTGAGCGGCTGCTTCGTCAGCTGTCCCGCGCGTCCACGCGACACTTAAGAGCCGGCCTCTTTAATCAATTGTTATAAGGACCAGACCTCACGGCACCTTCAGCGGCCCTGCGATGGAGAGAGGAGGCTGACGAGAAGCAGGGAAGAAGAGAGAGAGAGAGAGAGAGAGGGAACACTGGCCAAAGAAATAGAAACATGTGGGCATGCGTGCAACTGTATCAGACGGATATTGCACTGATTGACAGGCAGCCACGAGCATCCAGGGCAGTAAAAAGGTTTTACAACAGAGGATGGCGGAGCGATTCATCCAGGGTCACGAGAGAGGAGCGGTACATTCTATTCTGATCTTTTAGACACCTGACAGCCCACTTTAAACGCGTTCAAGCACAGATCCGCGTTGCGATCCTGCAGGTGCACGAGTCCTCGGGGCGCTCTCGTACTGATGAGATCTGAAACTCTGGGAGGGGGCAGAAGAAGTCTGGCAGGCTGTGTCGCTCTGCCTCTCCATAAGTTTATGGTTTGCGCTCACGGGCACAACAGAGAACTCCGGGCCCCCATTTATATTCATGGCGCAGTGCCGCTCGCACCTCGTCTAACGTCCTGTCCCTGTTGAGAAGGAGAGCTGACGCGCCGTGGGCTTTCTCTGTTTGGGGGGGCACCTCCTCTCTTTTCCCTGTCATTCCTGTGCCTCTTGTGGATACTGACATCAAACTCAGTGTTTGTGCATATGCGATTTGTTATACGGGGGAGGGATCGATTATCCTAATTGTTTTCTATTCAAAGCTGCGTGTGTGTGTATGTGCGCTGCTTAATTTTTCACAATTAGCCCCGAGCGGCTGACACGGCGGGGGAGCGTCTCCATGAAGGATGATGACAACGATAACCTTAGAAATGACGCCTGCAAAGTGACTTGGGGGGGGGGGGGG